CATATAGTGCAACATGCACTAACAAAAAGTTACTTTCCGCAGCGTCTAATAGCATAGTAAATTTCCCGGTAATCAACAAAGGCTGAATTTCACCCATTTTTACCTATATTTTCAACCAGTATACTGAGCTGAACGGAAGTAAATTCTATTAAACATCATTTTGCGCCTCACGTCAACCCAATGAACTAAATAATTTACCTCAAATGCGTGTTAAGTCCCCCAACCTCCAACCTTTCCTCAGATATGCAATCTACTGTATTAACCGTTTCCGCTATTGCTTTCTGATAATATTTCTGATGAACAATCTACGACGGATATTATAACGTCAGGTAAATACAAGTGTTGTCCCAGCGATCGAATCCTCTTCTTCTCAGATGTCTATTAATCGAAACCTGTATACCTATCAAGGGTCTATGATCTCCACGAATCTGACGACGGTCAGATATCGATTACTTGAGATACTGGTCTGAGTATGTGGACGCAAACATGGTTGTGAGCACATTCCACGATTCCGCGCAGATTTAGGAAGCACACATTCGGTGGGAATGTTGGAAGTGAGGGAAGTTTGAAGCTTAGATTTCTCGCTGGGCTAAGTTCTGTGGCATCTGTAGTAGTGGAATTTTTCAAAGCCATAAAACCATCAAGGGGAAGTTGTTACGTCCAAACTTTAGAGAATATTTAGTCCACTCTCGAATAAATTCAAAGGAACCTGTCTTCTACAGTAAGGTAGAGACTAAAAACGCGTAGGCAGGAAGGGCTTGCCATTTGAAACGAAATTTGCATTATAAAAAGACAAGAAGCAAACATGACGGAGCAACGTTTAATTTACAAGACGAAAATATGATAATGCATTGCGCTTTTACTTAGTCTACTAGAAAAATTGTTGTGGGTAATGATAGAGGCACAAATGATTGTACCATTATCGTGAGAGTCAACAGTCTGCTTTACTGGGTTGAAATTCAGGCGGAATAAATAATAATTCACCAGTTAGCGCTGGTCTCAGCGCGAAGTACTAAACAGCCAACCTGCTGCCTTTGCGAGTGATAAAACGCTTTAGATACAACCCGAAAACCCAAGGTTACTAGATTATAATAATTTAAACAAATTATAAGAAAACTAGCATATAAAAAAAAGTTATAGAAAAGGCTCAGTAGATGGCAAAAAATGGAAACTAGGGAACCTCTAGGAAGATATTATAGTCCAAAACTAATACAACTGACCCTCTGTGCATGTTTATGAGTTGAATCTGTACACGGCGCGAACCACTGTAAGCCCTAAGTTCAGGGATTGGATATTCATCTAAATTGACAACATCAATACCTTTAATAACTTCTAAGAGTTTATATTGAGCAAATAAGGCCTTCTGTTTGGGTTTGAGAAGTGAATCTACTGAATGACGCCACCAATACCACACGTAGCTTCTATGAGCACGTAGTAAGCATAATAGGCCT